GTAAAAATTTTGCTAATCAATTAGTTGCTAACTATAGTTGCAACTAATCAATTTTTTATATATGTGACTAAACTCATTGATTAGCCAATCAAACTAAAGAAATAAACATAGATTAGCCTGACTAGACAGAATATCTCGGAATTGAACTAGTCGATAATTAAATCGATTAGTTGAAAAGTTGTCAACTAGTTGATTTTCACCTAAACGATTCTGATCACTAATAGGGAACAACCTAATAAAATCTAGTCCATGCACGATTGGTTAAGTATTTAGTATTTTATAACAATAAGTTAAATATATGTATATACGACAGTTATCTATATTGATTTATTTTTTTTAAGCTAAAATTAAATCAAATGTTCTATTTTGGTATCATAGAAAACATGACTTAGTCAAAAGTGAGAATTATGTTTCTTTAAATTTGAGACTAAGGCAGTAATTGATAAATGGAGTATTCAATCGATAGATGGAGTTTTGCAGCATAAAAATATAAAAAATAGGTCACAATTGAAATCAAAAACATCTTTAAAGGACGTAACAGAAAGAGTGGATGGTTATGACTCCTATGTGCGAGGTGGGGCACATTAGGGCACTTTTTAGTCTCGCATCCAACTGGCAGTTTATTAAGGTATTTATTTTTATTTGTATTTTCATTTTTTTTTGCTAAAATCAATAGATTTACTTATAAATTATTAATCATAAATATAGATTTATTGATTAAGATAACTTCTGACCTCAGGTTTTAATATAATTAATAATTTAAATTGGTATATGCATTATACACCAAAATAATGACTAATAATTATAAATTATTTTTAGCGAACTACAATTTCAACTTCGCTAAATTAAAAGAAAAAAACTATAATTACCTAATTATCAAATAATAGATATTATAGTATTTTATATTTAATATAACACTGTAATGAATATAACACATATCAAGCATGTGTCAGGTATATGATCCTGATATAAAAACTTGAGAATAGACTAGTGGAATTAAGGATATCGAAAAATTAAATCAAATGGCTTCAACTTAGAACAAGTAATTATAAAATATGATTGAATGTAATTCATTTAATAGGCTGAATAATATAAAAAAATTGGCGAAGGTAGATTTGACTCAGTATTTTCTGAGATCTGGTTAGATAGTATAAGATTGAAAGTTGCTGAAGTGATAGATATATAAAATCATAAAAGAAGTTAAATCATTGTATGTATTATTAAACACATTGAATTAATTCATTTTATAACTTTACAAAGTTTGATAATGTAGATTATATAATATATAGATCGAAACAAATAAATACTAGATGCTATTTCAATATGCTGATAATGGAAGTCTTAAATTAAAACTACATGAAGATATTTAGATAAATTTATAAAGCAGGATATATTCATACAGACTTTCATTATGGTAGCATGAAAATATTAGTAAAAGTTTGCAATCTTATTATTTGATTTAATACTTAGGTAATAATAACTCTTTGGCTTTAGCGAAATATGAACTTGTAGGTTATTAAGTCTAATTATGTAATTAGAGTATTATGTAGACTATTAGATAAATTTTAAATAATTATTATTTAAATAAAAATTTTCTCTTACTTCATTTATTATTTTCTCATCTGTGTGTAACTAAGGTATATATATATTTTTATTTTTATTATTATTAGTTTTTTTTATTTAATATAATTTATTAATAGCTATCTTATTTTTACATATATTACTATATTTA